GGGGCACAGAATAGATCAGGGCAGCCTCAAATTTCACAACTTGCTTGGTAGCCCTAAGGTAAAGGTAAAGGTAAAGGGAGCCCTGACCATTAGGTCCAGTCGTGACAGACTCTGGGGTTGCGGTGCTCATCTCGCTTTATTGGCCAAGGAAGCCGGCGTACAGCTTCCGGGTCATGTGGCCAGCATGACTAAGTCACTTCTGGCGAACCAGAGCAGTGCACGGAAACGCTGTTTACCTTCCCGCCGGAGTGGTACCTATTTAACTACTTGCACTGGCGTGCTTTCAAACTGCTAGGTTGGCAGGAGCAGGGACCGAGCAACGGGAGCTCACCCCGTCGCAGGGATTCGAACTGCTGGCCTTCTGATCGACAAGCCCTAGGCTCTGTGGTTTAACCCACAGCGCCACCCGTGTCCTGTACTTGGTAGCCCTAGGCGACCCAAAAATCCATGTAGGCGAGTGAACAGCCTGGCAGAAGAGGTGTGGATCATTCTATTCTTCCTTCACCAGCCTACCTGGTTTCTATACTAGACATGGAGGAAGGAAAGTCTGACCAGTGCAGAGTAATCCATTTCAGCCTGCTAGGTGGAGTTTGTACCTTTTGTGGGTTTGTTTATTTATCTGCAAGGCTGTTTTAGGAGTATATGTTATATACAGGAGGAGAGGGTCTCTTAAACTAGTACAGAGGGATTAAGAAAATGGAATAACTCTGCTGGACCAAAGGTCTGTCTACTTGAGTAGAATCCTGTTTCCTATAGCGGCCAAAGAGATGCTTCTGGGATTCTGGAGATGAGGAAGAGCATGAAAAGCTCTCTCGCTAGATATGAGGGCAATCGTCTTAACTGCTCCCTAGGAGCTGTTATTATTCAGAGGCCTGCAGATCTGGAAGATAGTATATAGCCATCGTGTGTAGCCAACAGTATTCCTTTTCTCCATAGAGATCGCCAGACTCTTTGTTTGGCAAGTTCTAGAACGCCGCTGAATCAAGCTGCATTGTTTAACGTCAAGCAGGTGCAGGCCTGCCATGTCTCCAGAGACATAATAACTGCGCCTGCAGCTTCAGATGAGATCCAACTTTTGTGTCTGCTCAAAAATAGACTTGGAAATATGGATTCTCGGCTAGACCCTGCCAGCCACTCAACCTCCTGCTGTCTTCATTATAATAAAAGAAAACTCATAAAACATTGAAACAGCAAATAAATAGTTCTGCCTTGTTGGCCCCTGAAGTTCACCAGATCAAAAACACAGGCTGCAATTACTATAAAGCACACTGCTGGTTATATTTGAAATGGTAATGCTGGGGGACTGGCTTGGGAGAGCGATGACAGACTCTTCTTAGCTTCCGGCCACACACCACTGCACTGGGAGGAACAAAACACAACAAGCCTTGGATTACTATGTCGTCCATACTCACAGCTGTAGTCTGCTTCTCTCCAAAGAACCGTAAAGAGTAATCAACACTTGTTCTTGTCTTTAACAGTATGTAGTTTGTCTGGGGGAGACAAACCATGAGCCCAGCTTCCGATGATATTACAATCCAAGACTGGTACTTTGTTGTGCCTGCCAAGGCCAAGATCTGGGGAGAAGCGATGCAGGAATTCCTGAGCATGCTGCTCGTTTACATCAAACCACAGTGAAACCCAGCTTAACTGTGGTTTAACGTGATCTGTGAATACAGCCGTTCTTTGCTCTTGTGAGAGTAAAGATTCCATTCCACAATTCCGCCCCTCTGTTGTTTTAAAACCACTTAATCTCTTTATTTCCAACTTTCAAAAGGCTTTAATTGATAGTTTGTATTACATCCATTCACCTCACATGAAAACAAGAGAGTTAAATGCACTCGAACACCACAAGGGCATTGGCAGGCAATGCTTCATGGATTTGTCAACTTTCACAGCAAGTTGTTTCAAAATCTCCTCCGTGTTTCTATGGAAACTGCAAAATGGCTGTGAGCCTGTAAGCCACACCAAAGCACTCTCCCTGTAGGGCACATTATTTTCTACATGCCCTGGCCTCCCCGTTGCATGTGCCTCATACCAGCTTGTCCTTAGAATTAGAAACACTGCCCATTCCCTGCACCTATAGGGAGCCAAAGTTTTGTTTCTTTCAGGAAACAATTCTCCCTGCCTCCTTCATAACCTGTACCAGTGAAGTTCAGAGCTCCAGCATTAATATAAACAAGATAATAAAAACCAGCATTCCAACCCAATTTTCACAGGGTTTGGGGATTCATAATCTCAGACATGACCTTTCTGGATGGTATCATCTTCCAGGAAGACTTTTGGAAACCTCCTTGAGATATTCTGCTTCCTGCTCATTAAATCGTGATCTTATTTAACTCACTTGTTCTAGCACAACTAAGGCTGTGTACAGATTTTTGGCTTAAAATGTGTCTGGACTGTGTTTTCCCCATTCATTTGGATCAAGGTTGATTTTGGAGGAAATCAATCAAAACACAGCATTTCCCTTTTAATAAAAGAATGACCCCTGGGTTCTGTGAGGATCTGACATACTTAGGCAGCCCCGGATAGGGGAGGAGGAGGAGAAGAATGAGAGGGGCTTGAAGGCTGGTGACCAGGAAAAGAGGACAGAAGTCCTCACCTTATGACACTAAAGAGAGGGAATCAGAACTAATGGCTCTCTTCATTGCCCCTCCTGCAGAGAGCAGAGCCTCATGGGGAACGGAGTGTGCTGGTCCCGGGGGGGGTTACCGTGAGGCGTGGGCCGAGGGTCTGGAGACTGTCCACCAAGGGGGAAGCGGGGTCCAAAGCAAGAAGCCGGGCGTGGTTGGGAACTCCGGAAAAACAGGTCTGGGTGCTGGCAGCAACAGGTTTCCAATGTCGTTGTTCCCGCAACCTGGGACTGGGCTGACTGGCCTTTATCTTCTCTGAGGCCAGGGGCAGTCCCGGCCCACAGGTGACCCACCTCTCCTGGCCTTAAGGCGAGCACTCCTCCTGAGAGAACCCAGTTCCCTCCGCCTCTCTGCCCTGAGCCTCTGCAGCTCAGGAGAGGCTGGAGGGTTACTGGACCCAGGGGGAGGCTCACCTTCCCCTGACAGGGCTGGGAGAGGCGCACCTGTAGGCAATGCGTCCTCAATCACCTCCGGAGCCAGAGTAGATTCATCTGGTGTCTGCTCCTGAGGATCTGGCACAGGTGTAGGTGCTTCAGATTCAAGGCCCTGCCCCGGCTCAGCCGGCTCTGGAAGCGGGGACTCCTGTGCAGGCTGGGATTCCTCCGGTTCAGCCTCTGAATCAGATTCCCATGCCATCACAAGGAGGAAGTCTTTAACCAACGAGTGGAAGAGACTCCGCAGGAAGAGGAGGCGGCAGAACTAAAATCAAGAGGTGCAGAATACAAGTCTTGTCACCAAGAACCATGCACCTTTGTATGTAGGAACACTCCCACCCAGGACTACTGTGTCCAGTTCTGGACACCCCAGTTTAAGAAGGGTATTCACAAACTGGAACATGTACAGAGGAGGGTGACCAAGATGATGAAAGGGTCAGGATACCAAGCCTTATGAGAAGAAGGAGGAGGAGGAGGAGGAAGAGGAAGAGGAGTTTGGATTTGATATCCTGCTTTATCACTACCCTAAGGAGTCTCAAAGTGGCTAACAATCTCCTTTCCCCTCCTCCCCAACAAAAACCACTTTGTTAGGTGAGTGAGGCTGAGTTCAGAGAAGTGTGACTAGCCCAAGGTGACCCAGCAGCTGCATGTAGAGTAGCGGGGACCCGAACCCAGTTCACCAGATTACGAGTCTACCGCTCTTAACCACTACACCACACTGGCTTGGTTGAGGACCAAGATGAGATATAATAGCCATGTTCAAATAATGGAACTGATGGTTTTTCTCCCCGCTGCAAAGAAATAATCTCTGTGACCCATTCAAGCCTGTGCTGGAACAACAGAGACTTTTTGTTTAATTAAAAATGAAAGAATAAACCATAAGGCTAATGTTATCCACTATGGATGGGTTGTTTTTTTAGTCACCCTGCCAAAGACTGACGGATCTTCCTCTGAAAGAATTGAGAAGCTATTTGAATCCTGAAAATCTATTTTATTATTGAGAATTGTCCTGGTGGGACTTCCGTGTTGGCTGCCCGTTCTGCTGGAAGGCTGAGCTCTTTCGCTGGAAAGAGCACCGGTGCTTTGAAGGTTGGGGAAACCGCTAGAGCGACGCGGTACCCCTTAAAAACCTCGGATTGAGCATTCCGAGGACTTGGTATTCCTGCGGTGCCTGGAACGACTCCCTCACCCCCGGTAAGCTCTTGATAAGGGCTCCAAGAGTGGGTGGGGTTGGAGACGGAGGCACTTGGGAACAGACTCGCTTCCTTCATCGCATGAAGCTCCGAGTCTGGCGATCGTGAGCGGCCAATTTCTCCAAGCAACTATGATTGGAAAAGAGTGAGTAATAAATTAAAAATTTGGACATTCATTTGGAATGGACAGGGGCTTAAAAAAACAACGGAGGTCAGTCCCTTCCTCTGATTAAGAGACAAAACAGCTACATTAGCCGAAGCCGTGATCTAAAATTTACTACTTTCTAAAGACTTTCAGGTTAACCTTTGTATTCCTCCTGCTAGCAGGGGAGAGATACTTTTCAGAGTGTTTTAATCCTTGCAGACAGTTTGGATTTATGAGGTATTTTCTTTGTGGAAGCGGACTTCTCAGTCGGGAAGACTAGACTCCATTGTGACGTCGTAAAGAAAAGGACACTTTCAACTTTCGTTTTCCTACTTGGGGGGAAAAAAGTAACTGCAGCTGCCCGAACTCAAAGGTTTTTCTTCTCCCTTTCTCTTTTAAACAGTACCTCTACCCCCAGATATAAATTGTAAATTGTGACTGTGTTATTAACTTTTGGGGAATTAAGAAAGGATTACAAGTTACAGAGACTGTTGACTGGTATATTAAGACTGGTGGAGAGGCTTGAGAAGAGAAACTGTCTGTCTCCTTATCTCCCCTTTGTGTTTGAGACTGACCTTGAACAAAAGAACTGCAAGTTATGGATGGGGGAGAGAAAGGAGAGAGGACAGAGAAAACAAGAACCAAAGCAAGGAGGGATTCTAAGTCACCGTCTTTTGAGGACTCTGTGTTGCAATTGCTTCAGGAAATTAAAACAGAAGTAAGAGGAAATCAAAAGTCTATACAGGAATTAAAAAGTGACTTTGCTCAATTAAGACAAGATTTGACGCAAGTTAATTCAGATGTATCAGCACATGAGTCAAGACTGGCGCATTTGGAAACTGTGAGAATTCCTTACTTAGAGGAAAATCAGCGACAATCTCAAATTTCAATTGCGTCTCTGCAGCTAAAATAGAAGGAATGTAATCTGAGATTGAGGGGCGTACCCCAGAAAGAGCGGGATAATTTGAAGGATTGGTTAATTGAAGAATTTGCAGCGTACTGGGGCCTCTCAAAAGAAGAATTAAATTCCTGGATAGACAAGGCCTACAGATTTGGACCTAAAAAAGATACTAAGATCACACATGACTGTATGGTGATTTTTAAAACTAAAGAGCAGAGAGACATTATTTTAGGCCACCATTATAAAAAAAGTTTAAAGATAGATGAGAAGGGAATAATTCTGTTTAAAGATATCCCGACATACTTTTTGGCCCTGAGAAATAATTATACGGATTTGGCCAGTGCCCTAAGAAGAAAGAACATTTTCTTCAGGTGGGAGTTCCCGGAAGGACTATCTTTTAAATTTCAAGGAAGGAAACAAAGAATAACAACTGTCGGAGAGAAAGAAAGATTTTTGGAGAAAAACGCAAAAGAGCTCGGACTGGAAAGTTCTCCTTCATCAGGGGTAGGGGCAGTGGGCCCCTAATAAATCAGGATGTCATTGAAAATTTACTCCTGGAATGTGAATGGTCTAAATTCACGTTTTAAGAGGAACCAAGTTTATCACGTATTGGCAAGACAGAATTTGGATATAATTTGCTTACAAGAAACACATGTTATAAGACTTCATAGAAAAATTCTTCAAAATAAGAAACTTGGGCAGGAATTTATTTCATCCGACAAAGTGAAAAAAGGAGGCGTGGTTTTTTATGTTAAAGAAAAATGGAACCCCAAATTGTTGTTTAAAGATGAGGAAGGGAGGTACATTGCAGTTGAAATTACGGCACAAGGCGATAAATTTCTTTTGCTGTGAATTTATGCACCAAATGATGGCAAAGTGGAATTCTTTAAGAATCTGGACTTAAAACTCATGGATTATATGGATTACAAATTGATTTTAATGGGAGACCTGAATGGAGTAGCATCAACATTAATGGATAAAACACAGGGACAGAAAAATCCAAGTTCCGGCAGACTACCAAAGATTTTCTTTGACATGACTGATAAATATGATTTATCGGACATATGGAGGCTACGAAACCCAATGGAGAGAGATTTCACTTTTTTCTCAAATTCAATTCAATCTTTCTCGCGAATCGACTACATATGGATATCCAGAGATTTGGTTCCTAAGGTTACTAAAACAGAAATTTGCCCTAAGACTTGCTCAGATCATAATGCAGTGGTTTTGGAGATGAAATTATACCTGCAGGGTTCCTTTAGATGGAGGATGAATGATGAGTTGTTGAGGAATGAACAGATGATTAGTAAGGCCCAAAAGACTCTAAAAGACTATTATGAACTAAATATGAACACAGAGGTTGAAACAAGAGTCATTGGGATGCAAGTAAGGCAGTAATGAGAGGTTTCCTCATACAACAGAACTCAATAAGGAAAAAGATACAGAATGAGAAAAAAGAGAAAATTCTGTCTCAAATAAAAGACAAAGAGAAAAGTTTAAGATTAATGCCAAAGAGTCAACAGATTCCGAAAGAAATTAAAGCATTGCAGATTCAATTTTCTCAAATTATTAACCAGGAAATAGAATGGAAAATTAAAATGATGAAACAGAGAAATTTTGAATCTGCAAATAAATGTGGGAAATTGTTGGCTTGGCAATTAAAAAAGAGACAGAAGCAAAGTACTATTACAAACATTGTATCTGATGGAAAATCTATGGAAAACCCTGCAGATATAAGAAAATGTTTTCAGAAATACTTTAAACAGCTGTATAAAAAGGTAAAGAAGATAAGGATAAAATTGAGCAATTTCTTGTGGCGAATGAAATGCAGAAAATTCCGGAGGATAAAAGGTTCCTACTAAATGGCATGATTACGAGACAGGAGGTTGAGATGGCAATAAATAAGATGCAGTTAGGCAAAGCCCCGGGACCGGATGGTCTTTCTGCAAAATATTATAAAATATTGAAAGACTGGCTAATTCAACTGTTGGCAGATGTGTGTAATAAGATTCTAAGAGGGGACAAAGCTCCCGAAACCTGGAAAGATGCATTTATCACTCTGATTCCAAAAACAGATCAAGATAGATCCGATGTAAAAAATTATAGACCAATCTCATTACTTAATGTGGACTATAAAATTTTCGCAAACATTTTGGCCAATAGATTAAAAATAGATTAAAAAGGGTTCTATCAAATTATATACATAAGGACCAGGCCGGATTTCTGCCTGGGAGACATATGAAAGATAACATAAGAAATATAATTGATATAATAGAAAGGTTGGAAGCGAAAAGAAATTGTAAAGCAATGTTAATGTTTATTGATGCTGAAAAGGCCTTTGATAATGTTTATTGGTTATATATGATGAAAAATCTAGAAAGAATGGAGGTTGGCCAGGAATTTTTAAATGGTATTAATGCGATCTATTTTGAACAAAAAGCAAAAATCATAGTTAATAATGTGGTCTCAGAGGAAATCAGAATTGAGAAAGGAACCAGGCAAGGGTGCCCGCTTCCCCTCTGCTATTTATTTCTGTTCTGGAGGTTTTGTTAAACATGTTGAGGAAAGAGGAGGAGGTTAAAGGCATTGTAGTAGGATCCAAGCAATATAAATTAAAAGCCTTTGCTGATGATTTGGTTTTAACTTTACAAGATCCAGAAACCAGTGCAGTGAAAGCACTGGAGCTGATTCAAGAGTTTGGGCAGGTAGCAGGATTTAAATTAAACAAGAGCAAAACCAAAGTTTTAGAAAATGAGGAAAGAAAAAACCTTTTTGAAAGGACAGGCCTTGTTTCGGTGAAAAAAGTTAAGTATTTGGATGTGAATTTATCAGTAAAGAACTTGAATCTTTACAAAGATAACTATGAAAAATTATGGAATGAAATCAAGAGAGATCTTGAGGTATGGTCAAATCTAAAACTCTCATTGATGGGCCGAATATCGGTGGTTAAGATGAATGTATTGCCGAAGATGTTGTTCTTATTTCAAGTTTTACCAATCATTGATAATGTCAAATGTTTTAAAGAATGGCAGAAGGTATTGTCTAAATTTATCTGGCAGGGGAAAAAACCTAGAATTAAATATAAATTACTTACAGATATAAAAGAAAGAGGGGGCTTCTCCCTGCCAGATTTGAAGATATACTTTGAAGCTGCTGCATTCTGCTGGATCAAGGATTGGATTCAATTAGAGAATGATGATGTGTTAGACTTGGAGGGACTGGATAATCGATTTGGATGGCATGCATATCTATGGTATGACAAGGTAAAGGCCCACAGGGGTTTTAAGAACCATGTAATTAGAAAGGCATTATACAATGTATGGACTAGATACAAAGATCTCTTAGTAAGAAAAACACCAAAATGGATTTCACCAATGGAAACACAGGCTCAAAAAAAGTTAAATATGGAAAACAAATGGTTGAGGTATTCAGATTTGTTGTAAGAGAATCAGGAAGGTTTTAAATTAAAACCATTTGAACAAATGAAAGATAAAGTGAATTGGTTGCAATATTATCAAATTAACGAATTATATAAGATGGATAAGAGAAATGGTTTTGCAACAGAAAAAACCAAATTGGAAACGGAGTTGTTAGATACTAATGATAAGAATATGTCTAAAATGTACAGTTTGTTGTTGGAGTGGCATACAAAGGATGAACAAGTTAAATCGGTCATGATTGATTGGGCAAGGGATGTGGGACATAATATAATGATGGAGGACTGGGAGAGGCTATGGAGGAAAGGGGTTAAGTTCACTGCATGTACGATGTTAAAGGAAAACATTATGAAGATGATGTATAGATGGTACTTGACCCCTGTAAAATTAGCAAAGATTTATCACAAAAGTGATAATCTTTGTTGGAAATGTAAAGAAAAAGAAGGTACTTTTTTCCATATGTGGTGGACTTGTCCCAAGGTGAAAGACTTCTGGGAGAAGATTTATAATGAACTGAAAAAAATGTTGAAATATACATTTATTAAGAAACCAGAGGCCTTTCTCCTTGGAATAACAGGTGTAGAATTGCCCAAGAAAGATGTTAAATTATTTTTGTATGCCACAACGGCCGCTCGAATATTACTTGCTAAAAATTAGAAAACACAAGAACTACCAACAGTGGAAGATTGGCAGATGAAGATGATGGACTTTTCGGAGCTAGCTGACCTGACTGGAAGAATCCGCGACCAGAAAGAAGAGGAGCTTCAAGAGGACTGGAGGAAATTCAAGGACTACTTGAACAAATATTGTAATATAAAAATTAGAAATTACTTGAAAGAAACAAATAGGCCTAGGACAAATTAAGTTATAATTAAATAAATGGGATTCAGAATGTCAAGAAAAGTGAATAAGATGACTATAATTGGAAATTGTTTTAGTTTAATAATGATATTGGAAAGCTGTTACTTTTAAATTACAAGGAAACTCAGAAGGGAGGGATTTGAGGAAGTCAACCAAGATGTTTAAAAAGTTGGATTTGTGAAGAATTAAGTTTGTTATTATTGTCTATTTGTTTATTGTTCCCCCCCTTTTTTCCCCTCCCTTTTTTTCTTTTTTTTCCCTCTCTCTCTTCTTCTCTTTTTCCTTTTCTGTTTTTGTGTATTTATCTGCTTTGTGGTTTGTGTTACTATGGTGGAAAAATCTAATAAAAATGTATTTTTTTTAAAAAAAGAGAGAATTGTCCTGGTGGGTCACAGTGGTTGCTATCATCATCATCACCATTTCACCTCTTAATATAAGCAGGGGTACGGGCAGGTCTCCTCCTATGTTTGCATTTATTACTGTTTCATAAGAACATCAAGAAGCCTGCTGGATCAGCCAATGACCCATCTAGTTCTTATGCACTTTCCCCACTTGTCACTGGTATTCAGTGAAAGTACAACTCAGTTATTGTGTCTAGTAGCCTTATTTTCCATTCAACTGTCCAATCCATTTTAAAGTCATCCAAACTAGTAGCCCTCACTACCTCTTGCAAGAGCAAATTCCTATGCACTGTGGGAGGAAGCATCTCCTTTT